TGGCCTCCTTAAAAGCATTTTGATGCTGCCTAGCCTTGAGAGCCTGGTATAGCAGACCATTTTTTTAATATAGTGTTACCAGACAAAAAAAAAACCATTCTCTTAATAGGATGTTGTTTCAGGGCATTTGCTTCCACAGGGTCAGTGCACCCAGTTGAACACTGGTGGATGGCAGCCAACATCTTCTTTGACTAAAATAAACCACAGGATTCAACAACAGCACAGGAGAGCACGTTCAAATGAGCGCATGTGTAACTTTGGATGGCAATGACTTCATTGCATGAAAACAGGCTGCAGGGCAAATCCTGACAACCAGTTCTTCAAGCAAGAGCCTTGGACCCATAGCCTGCCCAGACCTGTGCACTCAGTGCCACCGCTTCTGCTAGAACTTTACTACCTGTACTGTGGAAATCCTAGCAGCAGGGTTTGATAGCCCCAACCCAATGGCACATTAATGGCAGCATAAAGATGCCAGTGTCCACAGTGCAGCACTCGAAACACAAAATCAGTGTGGATGTTATCAGGGCCTTCTGGGGAGTCGGGGCAGGGAATTGCAGTTATCCGGCTTTTTAGCAGACGAAGCTCCTCATCAGTGCCATGGAAGGCACCATAATTTCAGCACTGGAGTCAGTCTATGCAGAGGAATGTACAAGCCTTCCTGATGCATCAGTAGAATTTGAGCTCCTAAAAAGAGAACTAACGGGCATCAGGAATTAAACCTCTCAAAGTCATCATCTTTTTGTATTTTTGAAATAGCAGTGAATGTGTAGATAGTAAGAGAATTTTGCCTTACACGTTTTGCAGAAATAGATTTCTTCAAATATTAGTGGGAAAGAAGGGTCAACACAACAAATTGATCTAGCATCAAATGACACCTATTCCTGTAAAGCACATAAAATGTTTTGCCAGCTTTTAAGCAGTTAAAAGGCTGCTTACATACCTACAATGAAATTGGTAGTATTTTTTTTCCTGCATGTGTGTGCACATACACACACACACACATATTCCAGACATCATTTAGAGTTCCTTCTTATTCTCCTGGAGCAGCTGTTGCATTGCTCCTTTCTCTCTGATCTACTGCCAGACCAAGCACAGGCTAACATTTGTTCTTTTTGCTAGTATAACAGTGTATCAGTAAAGTTATTTTTTCCCATGTTTCAATAATCTACAATCCAGAGCCAAGCAAAAAACTTACCTTCTTCTGAAAAAAAAAAAAAAATCCCTCACAAACCCAACAAAACCCACAATAAAAAAACCCCACAGGCCTGGTAGACAGGGATTTCACAGAGCAAAAGACATGCAAGACATAACTATGTTGTGCTGTGGTCTATCAGGGTCTTACTGTGAAAAGAGCAACACCACAGACTCAAGGAAGTGGAAGAAAAACATATATGCAGAGAAGAGAGGATAAAGCATTCTCAGAAAGGTTATCAGTCAAAAATAAGAGGACAGACATAACTGGCTGATTCGTGGCACTATTCATCTTTTCTGAGAATCATACTGAACAAACCTGCTCTCTTTCAGATTTGTAAACTCCCTGACAAAAGGTATAGGGCAATATTTACAGTACCTGATATTAACTAAGACTCAAATATTTTCCACAAAGATACAGAATAACTTTCGCATCCCAGTTTGCATACTGTCTGATTCAAGCCAGAGCTGCATTTATAATACTGACAGAGTGACTCACTTAAGGATTATAATGGATTTTTATGTTGCCAGAAATGATCTTGAGCATACAAAGAAAATTCAAAAAAGGGTAAAAGACAATATGAGGATGCTTCAGTTACCCAACAACGAGGTGTCAGGTAATTAAGAATTATGATTACATTTAATAGAAATGCAAAAAAACCCTGGATCCATGGGCACTATAGTGCTTTGCTTATACGGAAGCACAGAAGTTGGGAAGTAAAAATGAAGCAGTACGATGAAGGAAGAAGGAGGAAATGCCAAAATCAGTAGGGCTTAGAAGAGACCACATGTACAAGACCTGACACACCAGCTTCATTTAAGAAAAGGTAGAGGAAGCCCAAATCCTGCATTACCTCAGAAATCATGGGTCAGACTCTCTTAAGAACAAAGCAACATTTGAGAGTGTGAAAATGGGCCCGAAAGCTCCATAATATCCAGAAAAATTAGACCACCTGGTATGGGCTGAGATTTCCCATTGTACCATGCCAAGGCAGCAGCCCATGCATGACCAGAGGTAAAAACGCACCCTCATAGATGAGATGTTGGCTTTCAGACATGGCCTAGCTCCCTTCTCTTACATACTGCTTCACCCTGCTCTCCCTCTCCCTCCTCTGTTATGTCCCTGACAGAATATCATTCCCTGCAGGAGATGGGGAAACAACCATGAGAAAAGGTGGTTTGAGAAAGGAAACAGACACATGGAAAATTCAGAAGAAGAACAAGGGAGAAGTGTAATCAGATTTTAACATGTAAGGACATGTACTTCTCTATTTAGTGAACCTGACCCTGCCTGCTAGAGTATGATTTTTTCCTAGATAGATAAAAGAAGCCAGAAGAATCTTCTGAGACCTGCAAGAGGTCTAAGTAGGACAACAGTGGCATGTGTAGTTATATCATTATATCTTGAAATGCAAGCTGTATGGATTGTCTTGATGCACTTTTGCTCTATAGTGCATCAGGTTTTAAGATAACTTCATATTTTTTAGAGTTCAGGAAGATATTCTTATGGGGTAAAACCTACTCACACTCAGGAGGTTTTTTGCTCCTTCTAGATACCTAGTCCTTTTGTCCAGCTGATCGTGTCCTGCTCCAAGCAGCAATCACACCTCATTCAGCACATCACGATGGAAAAGTGGATGAGTCTTACAAATGCTCTTGAGGATATTTTTATTGTATCTAAAAATATATCTATCAATTATTTACCCATATGGTAAGTAAGAACACTCCGTACTCAATGGGTTTTAGGTTAGTAAAGGACACCCACCATGCTCTTATGTAAAAGGGGGTCTAAGCACCTGCGTCATATGCAAAGGTCAGGTCAGCTTTCAACAGAGACACAATCAATGCATGTTGGGGGGTGTATTCTTGATTTCCAAAGGACTATCCCACATTCAGGCAAGCTTACGATTCTTTTGCACAGATTGATGCAAGCAGAGTTCATTTTTCCAAAGTATTTCTACATTAAATGTCTATTTTATATTTGTCCATGTAAGTCATTAGATATTCATAGATGTTGGATACTTGCAGGCAGTAGATATGCATAAGTACATGTAGTGACACAAGCTTTATTGATTTACTACAAAATTCTTAAATACATTAACAACATACTACTATTAAATATTTAACATCAATTCTAAAGACTGTTTTAATCCCATGAATGATTAAATTAATGTTTATGTGATATTAATTGTTCAAACCAGGGCCCTTGAATTAATTATTGTAAAAGGTCACTTTCTAACAAGATGCAGGCTGTTAACAGACAACACGAAAAGGGCAGCTGCAGTTCTACTCTTTACCATGTCTATTTGCAAGAGCTGATTTGGTCCTCTGGGGAAGAAACCAGCTCCAAAAGCTTAAGGATGCAAAACCACCATGCTATGGGAACAGGTGCAGCTACTCTCCCTACACAGAAGCATTCCTCCTAATTTCCCCATATATCCCAATACCTAGAAAAGTCAATCAAACCAGCCTCTCTTGAACAAAAGCAAAGTCCAGGGCACATAGCCAGGAGAGTAATTTCAGCAAATAACACATTCATTTCTTGGACACTTCACACCAAACTGTTTTTCTTTGACCTTTTGACATTAGAGGTTCTGCTTACTGTGCTACTATGATTTAGTCAAATATCAGTTTCTCCAACAAGGTTTCTCAATTGTAGGCTTTACAAATCAATTGTACCCTTCAGACTACTTAAAAGCAAACAAAAAAGTGCTTTATTCTTTACATACATTCTTTTTAAAAAAAAGGAGGACACAATTGGTGTTACCTAGGGTACCACTGCTAGAATACTTTCATATAACTTTGGACATCTTCCAGCCACACAACACATTGAGATTTCCTAGACAATTGGTTTAATGTCCACGTTTTGCTGAAGATAGTTTTAAGATAACATAGTAACAGGATACAGATACATTAATTCTACTCGAAAAAGTTAAACAGTAATTAACTTTCCTAATGTTAACAGTTTTGTAGAGATTCTATAATCAGCCTAATGAAAAAACAGCCTGCAAAGTGTTATATGCATGTCTTACAGGATTTGAAGTAGAGGATAGAAGATTTGTTTAAATTATGAGACTTGAATTTTATTAATGTTGTTGCCAAAAGTAGATAAGACATTCATAAGGGACATCACTGAGCTTTCATATATTGTACGTTAAAAGCAGTGTTTCAGAAATCTAATTTTGCAGATGATCAGATACAGTATGTCCTAGGTTACTTTTCCATCCATGTTTTCAGAAGCATAAAAAATGCAAGATGAGATAAGCAGAAATTAGTAAAAATAGTTTTCATCTATCAACACAGCATTTAGAAGTAATATCAAAGAAATTAGCCATCAAGTACACAAACCTCTGGTGCATTTTAAAAGACTACCGGCAGTACCTGTCTCCATCTATTCTCCTCTCTTAAAATTTAATTAAAAATACACAAAAATAATATTCAACACATGATGTTTAAACAGATAATAGCATGACTTATTTATATGAAAAAACTCAGCATTTTCTGACTTGCGTTATTGCACAGGTCTGATGATCTAGGCGACTTTGAACACATTTTGTGTTCCTAACAGACACAAGGACACAAACAGATTAAAGACTCAATCTCTGATTTCACTTTCTAGCATCAGAAGATTTAGACATTTTGAGGAGCACAGTTTTTCTTAACTGACAAAAGTTACTGGCTTCACAGAGACTTAAGTAATTCTAACAGGAAAATATTGTTCAGATGTACCATTGCTTGATAACTAAACAGAGAAGGAAATAAAGTACACTGAGAGAGGAGAAAAATATTGAGAATAAAATCTAACTTACAACACTGGGAGGCAGCAGTGGGCAATGGTTTCTTCTGGACTTCGTCCTGAAAGGAATACTAAAGGAGAAAAAAAAAAAAACAAAAACAAACACATACTGATAAGAAAGCAAATGGTAACCTTATAAAACAGCTTTCAGAGTACAGCATGTCACACAGAAGAGAAAGCATCCCTGCTACCATCAAAGAATTAAATATTATCCTTAATATCCATATTCAAACACCCTCCCAGAAGTGTCTTCCTTTCTCATTCCAAAACCAGGTGTTAAAAGGTGCAGATCTGGATAAGGTGAAGTCTGCTCTACTACAAGCACAGGCCCTATTCTCAATTGCGAGACCTCAAATTGGACATCTAAAAGATCTGATTCTCCACACCACAATGTCACTGACCTCAGAACTGAGTATAAGCCTGTTATCATTCAGACACTTGTAGACACTTCTCCGAACCCAAAGTGTGGGCTCACAGCAACATTGCACTAGGAGACTGAAGAAGTTAGATAACCGTGTGCCTAGCAGGGCAGTAACACACTGTTTGCCCAGCCAACACTTACAAACTCTTCTGTGATCCCCTGTACATTCAATGTGAAGCATTTTTCATCTCATTTAATACTAAATAAGAGAACACAGATATTGCCACTAACCAGCTTTGACTTTTGCACAAAGATGTTTGTTACAGAATCAAAGCATTCCTTAGGGGAATGCCAGTGGTTTTGTTTTGTTATTCTCCTCCGTCTCATATTACATAAAGATATGAGAAAATTAGGACAATTGAGCAAAATAATGAGAACAGTCTTTGCTAGGTCTGACAACAAAGGAAGCGGCAACCTTGGCGACCTGCTGCTGTAATCTGTGCAAAACAGGGCCACCAGCCTCTCCTTGGATTTCATAACGATTAACAACCATTTCATTACATGGAAGGTGACA